CTCCATTGGGCCAAAATGCACCGATATCAATACCTCATATGTTACTTGGTTCCTCGAAAATTCTCCTCTTGGACTTAGCCTAAAAGTGTGGACACTTTTTAGCCTCCGGCGAAACCTAGAGTCTATACGGCTTCGCCGCACGACTAAAAAGGGGTTTACTTATACCGTTTAGGCTGTAGCTTTGATTACGTCCCAAAAATCGTAAAACCCGAATTCACTAACACATATGCATGAAGGAGTACAGTGTATAATCTCTCTTCTCAACGAGCAAAACAATAACAAACCGCGAATGTTAGGTTAGTTCCTATTTAATAGACAACAAGAACGATCCGAGCAATATGAAATCGTTTGATTTCAGTAATTTCAATCCATTTTCGACTTCAACGACGTTTATGATGACCATTATCATTGTATTTTACAACCTTAAGCTAGAGTCCATTGCCTCATTGTGATGTGAATTCTGAAAATCCCTTCTTAAAACTTCAAATCATGACATTCTTTTTTCTCATTGTTCTCTCTTCATTTCCAGTTCAAATCAAGTGATTTAAAGTCACTTTACTAAAATTATGTGGTCCTAAATGGGCCTGTTGCAAACTTTTGCTAGAGCAAAAATAAGAGTTGTTTCCTGTAGATAATGCCTCAAAAACCACGATGAGCACATTGGCAAAGTCTGAAATGCACTCATAACTTCACGATCTGCGTAAGAAATTTGCGGTTTTTTGAGCTTCCCGCTTCAAAAACGATACTACGGCACAGGTGAACATTTTGATGGAGGAGTCGTTCCATCGTCGGCAATAATCATCATGGTCGACGCCAATCCACCAAAACACGTGTGATGGGACGAGATAACACCTAAACAGGACTAGACCAGATAACAATCGGCGTGTTTACGTTCATATTTTCCTCGCCCGCCTTGATTGATCTTGAACTCTCCTCGAATTACGCGCGGAACTGCGCAAGCGTCGGTCATGATGAATATTGCCGACGATGGAGCGACTCCTCTAACAAAATGTTCACCTGTGCCGTAGTATCGTTTTTGAAGCGGGAAGCTCAAAAAACTGCAAATTTCTTACGCAAATTGTGAGGTTATGAGTGTATTTCAGACTTTGCCGATGCGCTCATCGTGGTTTTTGAGGCATTATCTACAGGAAACAACTCTTATTTTTGCTCTGGCAAAAGTTTGCAACAGGCCCATTCATTCAAAATTGTGAAGCTCCCATTTATCTAGCACTGCAGCCTTTTGACCCCTCAAATGATACAGATATAAGTCCATTTTGTTCAAGGCTTCTCTGAACGATACCAAATGTTTATACATTTAAGATAAGTGAGATGTCTTTTGGTTCTTCTATTAGCAGTTTTGAAGTACATTAGGTATTACAGTACCTTCATCCAGTCTTGTTTCCTTGTTTAATGTTTGTTATGAGTGTTGGTTTGTTTCGGTTCTTCCTACATGAACACTCGAGGGCATACATACTTACGCTCAGGTACCTACCATTGTTTTTCTCTCACGTAAGGATGTACCTATAAGCATGCTAATTTACCGAAGAAATTCCCCCATTAATAAATAATTTTAAGCTTTAGTACTGAGTGAAAACCTCCGTGCGGTGTCGCAAAATTTCTCAGATAAGTCTCAGTTTATGCTTGTAGAACAGACGTTTACATTTGTCTGGTACAATTCCTGCTCTTCCAGCTTCACATCTTACTTAGATCTCTGATTTATCAATTAATGACACTCCTGGTGTCATTTATCATCAATCAGTTCAAAGCTATCTCGACGATGAATCATCAAACGTTACATTGAGGAAGAAATTTTCGGCTGAAAGCTACGGCTGAATTGACATGGCAACTCAACTTATGAAAGCATCAACCAGGCCATCATAATCTGTTTCAAAGTGAAAATCTTTTTCAACTCATCAGGCAGTTTAGCAGGTAAAAAATCTACAGTTAATTAATTAAGGGTTACCAGATTAAATGCACACCGGTTTCTGATATAATGGTCATCCCGTCTTGATATACTGTAAGCCACCAAATTTTATTTTATTTAGTCCAAAACTTTAGTTAACCATTTACTTTTATATGGTTAGAAGCTATACAGGGTGTCTCACGAAAAAGGAGCCGCCTTCAATATCTACCGAACGCGTTGGAATTTCGAAAAACGGTAAAAGACGTGTTCGTTTATATTGAGGGGGACACCTTTTGGCATATTTGAAATTTTCCCGAACCGCGGGAGGGGCGCGGGGCGGGGGGTGCCCCACCCGTAAGTCGAACTTTTCAAATGGCACCCCTACTTTTTTATTTCAGAAATCAATTCTACACCAAAAAACAAGCCACCCTGTCGAAACCGAATGTAAATTGGGCAATTTTTCTGTGATTGACAGAGGTTGAAACATTTTTCTCATGCTCTTTTCAAAAATTCCCCACGCCCAATGGAATTGCCGTATCAAACCAAACTCTCCGCCAAAAAAATTTTTAAACATTGCACTTTCGATAAAAAAAAAAATCTGCTGTACTCGAAATCTGGAGCACGCAGATCACTTTTCTGCGACATTAAAATTCGTTTTACCTAACATTTCCGAGGGGCGCTCATCGGGAGGGAGTAGCAAGTTTTAGACAAGGATTATTATTCTTTTTTCTGAAGCAAAAGAAACCGTGTCCATGAAGAAACAGCTAAGTAGAGAAACAATGCACCGCGGCAAAATAGCTTCCTCAGAAGTATCAAGGTACGGCTCAAATCATTGAAACCCGCCCCAAAAAAGCTAATCCATTTGTTTTTCTATTTAGCTGTTTCTTCATGGACACGGTTTCTTATGCTTCAGAAAAAAGAATAATAATTCTTGTCTAAGACTTACTACTCCCTCCCGATGAGCGCCCCTCGGAATGTGAGGTAAAACAAATTTTAATATTGCAGAGAAGGGCTCCGCGTACTCCAGATTTCGAGTACAGCAGATTTATTATTTTTTTTTATCGAAAGTGCAATGTTTAAAAATTTTTTTGGCGGAGAGTTTGGTTTGATACGGCAATTCCATTGGGCGTGGGGAATTTTTGAAAAGAGCATGAAAAAAATGTTTCAACCTCTGCTAATCACAGAAAAATTGTCCGATTTACATTCGTTTAGGACAGGGTGGCTTGTTTTTTGGCGTAGAATAGATTTCTGACATAAAAAAGTAGGGGTGCCATTTGAGAGTTCGACTTACGGGTGGGGCATCCTCCGCCCTGTGCCCCTCCCGCGGTTTGGGAAAATGTCAAATACGCCAAAAGGTGTTCCCCTCGATAAAAACGAACACGTCTTTTACCGTTTTTCGAAATTCCAACACGTTCGGCAGATCTTGAAGGTGGCTCCTTCTTCGTGAGATACCCTGTATTTTATAAAGCTTTTATTTATTAGAATCATTAGATTTTTATTTATCTCCATACTGAAAAGATAGTGTTTTATCTGAAACTAAATAATTTTTAACTAGACTAATTCATTTAAAATGTTTTAACTATCTTAATAACTTCAGTATCGTGCTTTTCACATTTAAGCTCATGGTTATACTCATGGAAAACTGGCTCCTTAACCAATTTTGGCTTTAACATGATAATTTTTTGAAATTTTCAAGAAAAACGAAAATTTTCAAATTTTTAAAAATTTTGTAGTTAGAGAATGCCTAATGGGCGAATAAATTTGAGCGTTTCGTTACTGAAAGTAGACGTGGGCTTACTTGAAGTTTAATTTGATACCAAAACCATGCGATGAAAAACACACCAACGAGAGCAATTAAAGTGAAACGCGACGGTGCGCGTCACACAGCGCATGATCCGTATGGAGTCGTTGGCGCCCTTCTCTGCCGTGTAATTTGGTTGCTACTAGATCCGTTCAGATCATTTTGTTCTAAGAAGTTTGAAGAAACTGAAATCAAAGCTTTGCCTCATTGGACGGATCCAGAAAAGTACCCCTAAGTCGTTTAATTTGATACCATCATCATCCCTGCGTGACCAAAATTAAACCTGTGACTGCAATTTCATTTCATTCTTAAAGTTCATCGCATTACTGTAGGATATCACAGTGGAACAAACAAAATGACACAAGTATCCTCAATACGAGATAAGTTGATCCTTATTTATTTTGAGGCGCTGAATTCGGAAATGACCTCTAATGTTTCCCATCACCCTCCAATTTTCCGAAAAAGTCGATACTTTCCCGGAAAATGTGCTTTTTTGCCATTTTTGGGACTACTACCCCCTGCATGATGTAACCGTAAAATTTACTTGAGTACAAGATACATCCCTTCCGATGTACTTTTAGCCGCTGAGTTCAAAAGTGGCCTCTAAATTTTTGCCTGTCACCTCTCAGTTTTTCAGAACAGCCACTTTTTCTTGGAAAAACGTGTAAATTTGACGTATTTTGACGCCCTCAAGGGCCCAAGGCAACTGGCAACTGCCGTTGTGCACCCCGAAGTTGGACTGTGCTCCTTAACTTAACTTCCTACTATTGACACATTGTGTATCCTCTATATTCCCGCAAGGCTCAGCGGCCGTCTGATAACCAACGGAAGGTCTTACCAAAGACTGTCGCAGACGCTGCAGAGCACGGACTTTCGGAGCACAGCCATGCGTCCACCGAGTTGGACTGTGTTGTTGCAATCTACACTGATAGGTAGCGCTGGCAGTCGCGCACACTACGAGTGATTATCGATTTTTCACAACCCAGTCGAACAGTGCAGACGGATTACTTACTGGGTGACTGTATCCCTCCCGCACCCTATTACCTCGAAGGGTCAGGGTATTGGAGTGGCATAGTCATCCACAGTCACGATGACTGATATTTGAGTGTCCTCAAATATCAGTCACCTCCGGGGATTGAACCCGGGACCTCAGTGTTGGCAGCGAACTGTCTTGACCACTACACCCCTGAGGCTGACGTATAGCAAGAGTATGGACAGATTGCTTCATGAAGGTCATGCTAGCTTTTAGCTAGCACTAAAAACCAAGTGTAATGGTAAACAAATTTTAACAATTACCGGAAGCTGCCTGCAAAATTTTGTTAAAGCTGCATCTACTCCTAGGTCTTGAATTTCTTTCATCCAGTCTGAGTTCTGCGAGGAAGAATGTTTGTAGAATAAATTCAAAATAGCCATTGCTACACGATAGAAAACTTTGACACCCTCATATAAATAGCAGTCCATCACTCTGACCTGGAAAGAGACAAAAAAAAAAGTAAAACTGAATACCTAAAAGATGAGGATCAGGATCAGCACAGTAATAAAAGGAAAGTGAATGATTGAAAACTACAAAGAGCTTGATGCAAAAACGGCTCCCCCCCCCTCTGGAATTTGTCCAATCTTTATCCATTGATTACTCATACTTGAGCGCTTCTTTTCCCAAATTTTTACACCCCCAAGAAATTTGGTGGGGGGGGGGTGCGCTAGGGGGTGGGAAGTCAAAACCTTGGACCTCAATACCTCTCCAACAAAGAAAGATATCGAAGTCCAGTTTGGACAAAAAATCGGCTAAAATTGCATACTTTAAGATCCTGAAGGTCCAAACCGCTAAATCACATTTTCAAGTTAACATATGTGCTTTTTTCAGTTTTTGAGTGGAGACACAAAAACAAAGAATTTCTCTTAAACAAAGAATTTACAAAGTTTAATTTGTAATTTGAACCAAAACCAGTTTTTTAAATTATTCGTCTTTTTTCGCATCCAACGAGTTCAGTTCTGCTTCAGTGCCGACCGACCGGCCGCTCAGTGGGCCTCTCAAGTAGCACTGTGGGGAAAAAAGAATTTTCGGAAGTATCTGTAATTTTTTATCTCAGCGACCCTCAAGAATCCCTAAATATGTTTTTTGCACGATTTGAACATTTAATCTGATTTACTAACACCCAAATTCGGCTTTGGGACCATATTTAGGCGCGCAAAAATCGGTTGGCGCATTGAGCGGAAACTTCAATCATCCATAACTCTCGAACCCTTTGATTCCACAGCTTAATGGACCACTCGTTGGATGCAAAAAAAGACGAACAATTTAAAAAAACTGGTTTGGGTTCAAATAAAAAATTGAGTACTTCGTAAACCTATGTTTTAAAGAAATTTTCTCGACTCAAAAACTGAAAAAAAGCACATATGTTATCTTAAAAATGTGGATTCAGGATTTTGACCTTTAAAATCTCAAAGTATGCAATTTTAGACGATTTTTCGTCCCAACCGATCTTCGATTTTTTTCTTCGTTCGAGAGATATTGAGGTTCACAGGTTATGACTTCTGAACCCCCTAGCACCCCCTCAAAATTTTTTGGGGGTTGGAAAATTTAGGGAAAGAAGCGCTCAAGTGTGAGTAATCAATAGATAAAGTTTGAAGAGATTTCGGAAAGGGGAGGGCGAAAAAAGCCGTTTTTGTGTCAAGGTCTTTCTATGGTTTAAAAAACTCCTGCACAGAATTTTAAAAAAATGACAACAAGAACATTATGAAATGAAGGCAAATGTTCTTGGCTACAAAAAAGTTGGAAATAAGGTTTCACAAAGTTTATCCTGTCAATGACGCTTAGTTGTTAAAAGGACCATCAAGTTTGACATAATATGACTTAGGTATATTGCCTCAAACAAGAAAAAAATTAATCTTAATTCAACACCAAGGTATCATAAGATTTGGTTGGATCACAATGTTCTTTGGCGTCTACTTAACATTTTCGCTGTAACTTGCAATTCTATACCTATTTCCCCTCCCGATTTCAAGAAAACTTAGTTTATTTTTTCATTAAAAAGGGAGGGTCTTAAAAAATATGTGAATATGATTCTTATGAGGTATTAAGTGTGGAGCAACATCAATGTTAAAATATTTTTGTCCTTTCTACTTGACTTTCCAAAGATTGCGCAAAATCTGATTATTTGGGCCATTATGGACCTTCTTTCTCTCCACGTCAGTAAACTCACAGTTCAAATTCAACAAAATTTATACCGGGCCATGCAAGTACCTAAACTGAGATTACGTTGCCATGAGGCGTCCATATGGAGCTGCGCCACGTGACGGCTAGGGAGAGACCTCTTCATACGTATAATTTCCTTGTATTGAAAAAAAAAAAAAAAAAAACTGAGAAATTTTCCTAAAGGTTCTTTAAATTGTTCGGTCCCAGTGCTTGGCATTACTTTCAGTTTTCACTGCAGACAAAACAACGGTTTGGGATTGTAATGTTTGGACCTTTATCTCCAACTTTCAAAGGCTATAAAAGAAAAATTGCCCTGAATTTTCACGATTCACCGTTGTGAAAAAGACCTTAAGATGGTGACTTACTAAGAGTAAACGTTTGAAGATTTTCACTAAGTTCACTTAGAAATTCAGACCAGTTCGAGCTATTGGCGCAGATGGCATTCAAAACAGAACACGCATTTAATTTTTAATGTGCTGACTCCCTAAAATAAAAAGAGCTTCAATCCGAGAAATTAATTTGCAAGTGAGACATAGGACCCTCCTCTCTCATTAATTACAAAAGCGGTCCCAGAGCAACCATCCATCGACCTCATTCTCAAGAGCTAAAAGATATTGACATGCGGTTTGTGAGAGGCTCTGGATAAACTCATTAGCTTTAAAACAAGATCAAGTTGAGCTCATTTGGTTGAGAATTGACGTTTTACTTCAATTTTACAAGAGGGTGTTGATTCTATCCCTCCAGAATTTTTGGTCCTGTAGGTGCGTGCACCGCGCTTTAACGGCAACCCCACATGACTCAAAACACTACAGTCAAAGATCAATAAGTAAATACTGTAACAAGTTTTAAAAATATTATGAGAACACATTGCAAAAAAATGGCCGGATGAGAAGCACAAGTGGTTGCTCCCTGATGATAACGCGGCAAAGTTGACTCAACAGTTTATCGAACAGAAGGATATTGTGCCCCCCTCCCCCCCATGCCGCCCATTTGCTGGACCTAGCCCCATGTAACTATTGGCTTTTTTCAACTTTAAAAACGATATTAGGAGGTATAAGTTTGAGTCTGTAGAGCAAATCGATTTTGCAAAATTACCAAATTCTTCTCGACACTGCCAAAAGAAAAATTTCAGCAGACTCTTCTTTGCAAATGGCACATGAGGATTCAATGTTGCTTCAGAAATAAGGGACAGTACTTCAAAAAAGACCACAAAGTTGATTTATCAGAAGAAGAAACATCTAAGAAATAAGGTTAATGCTTTCATAAACGTATTTATGATGATGTAGGTGAAATAAAGTTTTAGTTGCAGAATTTGAAAGATTTTGGAATTGCAGAAATCTCCGTAAAATCCTGGAGAGGTAAAATTAACACGCTCTTGTAAAATAGCTACAAAATTACAATTCTCTACTAAATGAGCTTAACTTGGTCTTGCTTCAAAGCTTATGAGTTGATCTAGGGCCTCTCACAAACCACATGTCGATATCTCTTTTAGATCCCGAGAACGAGGTCAATGGACAGTTGTTTTAGGACAGCCACTGTAAAATGAGCTCTAAGCTTGAATACCTCCTTATGTGATTCTTTGATGCAATAACTTTAAAAGAGTTTCAAAAAATAATCATCTTTGAATGAAAGAGAATAAAATTTGTGTCTGATTGAAAAAGGGCTGGAGTAGATCTTATGTACAATTGGTGAGAGCCTTTGGTAGCAAATCTCCCAGAAAAACACAACATGGCAACTGAACCTTGCTGATAAGCTTGTTAGTATTCATCTTGATGGTTAAACTAAACCTCTAAAATAAGTGATGGGGAAAAAATAAAAAAACTTTGAAACCTTTGGACTTGTATTCTTTAAATCTGATTTTGTCACTCGCACCCTTTTTCCATCTGATTCCTCACATTATTTACCAAGTGATTGAAAGGAAGGCCTTGTAAAATCCACCATATCCAATCTGCATAGATACGCTCTGCTCTGGAAGGGGTTGTACAGTGTCTGCTGAGATGAACAGCAGCGGATTTCTGGATGAACAAAATGCAATTTATTTAAGCATATGTGACGTAAAAATGTTGCAGAGAGTCTGCAAAAAGGGACCATTTTGTGCCGTTTTTGGGGGGAATTCAGGTATTTTCTTCAATTGTGGACTAAACAAGACCTCATGATGAGAAAGTCTTCCAGTGAAAGTTTTAGCTTGAGTTCAGACCTCCTTTTGGCAATACAACGTTGCAAAATATTTTTTATCATTGAAAATTGCTAATATTTTAAAGTTCCTTAATTAAGTAAATAAATAAATGAAAAAAAAACAGTTTCAGTTGATCCTATTTTATTCTCTAAGGCACACTTTAGGGTGTCCCACTTTGAGGGTCACCTCCGAATTTTGATGATGGTACCCTCTAAATCGTTGACCCCACTTATAAGAATAAGATTGCACTAAAGAAAAGAATTCTAAAAAAATTTTTAAGGATTGCGCACGGCCAAAAACCACCCCCCGGAATAGGGCAAAATGCAGAATTTTGCCCATTTTGACGATTTTTTTAAAACAACATTGTAATTGAGCTAGGGCTCTGAAAATTTCACAGTAAGAGCATATGTTAGGGTTCTTTAAAGAAAAAATTTTGTTCGTATCATCATGCGTTTCCATTTTTTGCTAAAAATCCTCAAAATCGGCTAAAAACGCTATGAATTTCAAGATTTTGTATTTTTGTCTTATGACGATTTTTTCAGCTGACAAAGTTAAATTAAACATGAAACGTACCATTAATTGCATTTTGATACTCACTTTGACCAAAATTCATACTTCACTTTATTTACCCCTCCCCCCTCCCTTATTTTTAACCGTAAATTCAGCGTTATTCAAGTCGCGATAGGTGCATGGGTTTTTTTCTCTTTTTTCCATTAAAGATCACATTTGTATTCATATTCTTACGCTTTAAATGTCGACGCAATGTTTCATTAAAGTAGTACTTACTTATGAAAAATGGGAGAGCATGATGTGGACTTTTTTTTGAAAAAAAAAAAATCAATTGTATTTTTGAAAAAAAAAAAAAATTTTACTGAAATAAATGGGAATGGAGCCAAGCCTCAAACAATTAGAAACAACATCATTCCTTTCTTCTAAAATACTTTAGCAAAAGCTCGGGAGGAAAAGAAGAACAACTGACTGAATATACTTCAGAAAAACGAGGATAGTCTTCCAAAAAAAAGTGGCAACGTGCCTAAACAGTAGAGGAAATGCATGATTACTTCCTCTTTGAATACTTAACAACTGACGCTCCAGCGATAAACAACAGGGCAGTTCATCCCTCTGTTTTCGAAACTGTGGCTATTTTTCGGCATCAATTTGATCCAACAGAAAGTGATTTGAAAGGCCTTCAAAAAGTTTGCTAATTCAATTTAAGATGTTTAATCTTTGCTGGTACAGATCTCAGCGTCCAATAATTGCCCTTCAAGATGATTTGTAATTTACAAAAAAGTTGCTTCTGCACAGTAGTATTGATAAGAGAGTATCAGAGGCTACATTGGCCTCTTTTTCAAGACATCACAGTTATCTTAGTGACAGGTTGGGGCCTCTGTCTGTTTTTGATTAATTCATTTCTAATAGCATGAAAAGAAAAATAGTTAAAGCTTTAGTAACTAAAGAGAGCAATGATAATTATCTCAATAAACCTAGTGAAAAATGACGCTGAATTAGGTACACAAATTTTCATCCTATCATATGGTTGATTTCAAAACAACAACAAAAATGAAGATATGGCATCACATGAATCTCATGATGATCTTCTTTGATGAAACTTCCACCTAACATTACCAGGCACATAAAAAGAAAGGAATAATGCATTCCCTTAACTAATTTTTGCCACCTTTTGCCTTACACTATAACCTTGCTACTTATTTTTGGAGGACTAAACTCGTTTTTCTGAAGTATGCTAGGTAGTAGTAGTTCTGAAGTTCTAAAGTATACTAAGTAACCTATCTTTTTTGTAAATTACAAATCATCTTGAAGGGCAATTATTGGACGAGAAAAAAACCCATGCACCTATCGCGACTTGAATGGCGCTGAATTTACGGTTAAAATAAGGGAGGGGGGAGGGGTAAATAAAGTGAAGTATGAATTTTGGTCAAAGTGAGTATCAAAATGCAATTAATGGTACGTTTCATGTTTAATTTAACTTTGTCAGCTGAAAAAATCGTCATAAGACAAAAATACAAAATCTTGAAATTCATTGCGTTTTTAGCCGATTTTGAGGATTTTTAGCCGATTTTGAGGATTTTTAGCAAAAAATGGAAACGCATGATGATACGAACAAAATTTTTTCTTTGAAGAACCCTAACATATGCTCTTACTGTGAAATTTTCAGAGCCTGGGTTGGTTTTTGGCCATGCGCAACCCTTAAAAATTTTTTTAGAATTCTTTTCTTTAGTGCAATCTTATTCTTATAAGTCGGGTCAACGATTTAGAGGGTACCATCATCAAAATTCGGAGGTGACCCTCAAAGTGGGACCCCCTAAGGCACAGAGACATGTACTGCTGATGCTGTACCTGAGAGAACAAAGCATAATCAACTGAGGCTGTTCTTTTTTTTTTAATCAGGAAACTACAAAATATTAACATCTTTTCAAACTTTGCAGTGCTGTAATGCCAGAACGAGCTTTGCGCACATGCTAAAACTTTCATCAAAGGATTTTCTCATTATGAGGTTTTGATAAGGCACATTTTGATAAAATGCCTAAGTGGCCCCAAGAAGGGGCTTCTTTTCTGACAAGCTCTTTCATCTCTTCAGTACATCAATGAAATAATTCCTAAATTCATGCATACCTAATGGCTGTTGCTTTTTGGAAAACTATTAAAACCAACAAGTGGGTCAAATCTGATTTAAGCGAACTATTTCCTAAATCACTCAAACAAAAGGATATGCAAGTAGGGTGAAAATGCCGACTTTGCCAGGTAAAAAATCCAACAGCGTTGCATGATGGTGCAGAAAAATACGCATTAAATTACAGTGTTGTATGGTGATTATTATTCAATATGGCAACGCTGTAAAAGTAAAAGTATTGCATGTTGCCCCTTCAATATGCGGGTTATGCAATAGTGTAATGTAGCCCCTTCAATCTGCGGGTTATGCAATGGTGTATTCTTAAAGATGGCGGTTACAACGTTGCCGGACGGTGCACTTGAATAAATGATTTAATTATGGGTGAAATTTTGCAACATCGCATTTTACAGTGTTGCCAGATGGTTCGAGAAATTAGTTAATTTTCCGATAATACAATGTTGTCAGATTGTGCAAAAAATTCGGATTTTCGGACTTGTCAAAATTTTCGGTTTCGAAAGACCGTCTCCTACAGTATGGGTCTGATATCGGATACTGGAGAGTAGGGTCTGATTCGGGAAATTAAAAAATTTTCGGAAAATTACCCTCCTCCGATCCGCCGCGGATGGATGCAATTCTTTTCCATTATCGAAGATCGGAAAACTGTACGGACCGAATTTTAATACGACTTTTTGTTTTAGAGATTTCGGACTTGTAAAATTTTCCCATCGATAGACCATATCTCACAGTATGGGACTGGTATCGGAGACTGGAGAGTAGGGTCTGATTCGGGAAATTAAAAAATTTTCTAAGTCCCGCGCTGGAATATATTTTTCGGATAATTACCCTCCTCCGACCCACCTCGGACCGATGCGATTATTTTACACTATCGAAGATCGGAAAACTGTACAGACCGAATTTTGATACGAGTTTTAGTTTTCGAGAAAATCCAACTTTTACCTAAGTCGCATGCGTATCTTATGTGCATATACGAGTTTTTATGCTCGCTTGAATACATGGGATTCTTGACTTTACTAATGACATGTCTGATGTATGTCTGATGGTAAAAACACATCTATGACACATACCTATCTTATGTGTATACGCGGTTTTATTCCTTACATTGTTTTCAGATTGTGCAAAATATTCGGATTTTCGGACTTGTAAAATTTTCGGGATCAATAGACCATAGCCTCCAGGATGGGGCTGGTATCGGTGACTGGAGAGGAGGGTCTGATTCGGGATATTAAAAAATTTTCTAAGTCCTACGCTGGAAAATATTTTCGGAAAATTACCCTCCTCCAATCCACCCCAGCCCGATACGATTCTTTTACACTATCGCAGATCGGAAAACTGTTCAGACCGAATTTTGATACGACTTTTCGTTTTCGAGAAAATCCAACTTTGACCTAAGTCGCATGCGTATCCTATATGTATATACGAGTTTTATGCTTGTTTGAATAAATGGATTCTTGACCTTTACTATTAACCGGTTGTACGTCTGATGTTATAAACACGTCTATGACACATACCTATCTTATGTGTATACGCGGCCTTCTTCGTGGCCTTCGTAAATTGCGGTCCTCGCTCCGTCCAGAGTTCAAAATTCATCGTGAACTAGCTGTCTGTTCGTGGATCGCACAACAATGTGATGTCTGGTTTTAGTTTCTACAGATCAAGGGAATCAGAAAAACGTTAAATTTCATTGCGGATAGCCCGGGGTCATAGAAAATGCTCCTTTGAAGTGATGATTTTTTTTTTACATAGAAAAAAAACGAATTAAATTACAATGGTGTATGGCGGGTGTTGTACAATAAGGCAATGTTGTAAAAATTGTTCAACGAAATGGCAGGGTAATGTTACTCCTTCAATATGCGGGTTATACAATTCTAATAATACGAGGTATTGCATGTAGCCCCTTCAATCTGCGGGTTATGCAATGGTTTATTTTACCCTTCAACTTGTAGGTTATGCAACATAATTGCTACTGATTGAATTACCGGTGATACTTGACAATATGATATTGGTTTGTGTAACGAAAGTTGATGATTTCGATTATTTACCACAACTTTATATGAGAATATTGTTGGTTGATGATTTTGATACTTTACCATAGATTTAAATAGAAAATCAATAAATAATCGATGGTTTTTGCTCGATATCTCGAAAACGGTGCGTCTTTGACGAATTTGGACGGCACCAAATGCACC